TCTTATTGAGGATATGTGCAGCTGTGTGAATGTGCAGGGATTCCAGGTGCTGGCATGATGCAAGCTTGTTTTCTTCGACCAGAACACGATTGCTTGACCAGTCAATTTGAAAGCCTGTATATTCCACATGTTCAGCGAGGGCATTCAAGGCCACCCATGATTTGGTGACTTCATTTTGAACTGTTGTGTTGTTTAACTCTTTCATTGAAATCACAGGTCTCATAGACTGACATGTTGTCACACTCGTGGCAGACTACAGTGTAAAGAAGACTACAGAAATTTCCGCTCGGCAGCTTATTCTTCCCATTGACTAAAGCATTCCTTACCTTCCATGTTGGTACATGCACTATTTTGATATATGTTCCTTCTACATATCACATACCATATCTGACTTTCCAAGCACAGCATTTCTCACATCGGTAAATTTGTGCATATTTGTCGTGGCCACAAGTTTGGCTTGGCTTGAAAGCCTTTTAGTTAGGTGCTTATGTTAGAACTGCCATCACAAGAGGCTTGCTGGGCTATGTCTTGCCTTGTATAATATTGCTGCTATTATTATTATTATTGGCGATGCAGCTGCAAACGTCCTCTGCTATGCACTTATGGCAGATATTTCAAGAGTAGCACACTCTCATTTCATTTCCTTGAGATGGTGTTAATAAATCCATGAGTATTTTTTACCATTATGTTCATAGAAGAGTACGTAAATGAAGGTAGCATGAAGGTAACCAAAACACGCAACTTAGCTTCACAAAAAAAGCCTACTGGCTTTTTCAGCTTGCCTTTGTTGTACATAGCCTGGTCACTCCTCACAACGGTGTTCATGCTGTCTGAGACGCATCTGGAAGCTAAGTTGCATGTTTTGGTTGCTGACAAGGAAGGCTTCTTTTCAACTCTAGATGGCTCTATGTATAATGATAAGGTATCCCCTGGTTTGGAAAAAAGCTGAATAAATCATTTTCTGAGCAACTGCAGCCAATCAATTTATGTGAATGGACATGCATCTTCACTTTCACATGCAAAGTCTGGTGTTCCCCAGGGATCAATCATGGGACCAGTTTTGTTTCTCATTTACATCAACATTGGACATGGTTTGTCATCTACTATCAAATTATTTACATACAACTACATCATTTATAGAAAAATTGACAGCACCCAAGCTAACGAGTCATTATAGTTGGACCCTAATAAGCTCGCATTTTGGTGTCACCATGGCAAATTAACACTTCCAAAACGAAGGCCATGACGTTTAAAAGAGCACACAAAACAGAAATGAGTCAATATGAAATTCAAGCACTCCCCATTGAAAAAGTATCCCTATTTAAATATCTTGGAATTCATTTATCTTCTGACCTGCCTTAGAATAAGTGCACAGATATCATAACTAGTGAGGTGTCAAAAGCACTTGGATTTATTAAAAGAAACCTTTACTTGGTGAACTATACCTCTGAAATGCTAGCATACACTACACTTGTCCGTTCAAAGATAAAATATGCACCCATAATCTAGAACCCACATCAATCATATCTCATCGATTAACTAGAATCAATACAAAATGAAGTAGCAGGATTTATCACCAATTAGTATTCTCGCAATTGCAGCACTACAGATATTACACACTCACTTTCATTACCGCTTCTTGAAAAACACAGACTGTCGTCACTGTTGTTGCATTTTCATACATTTTATCACAGTAAATGTGCCTTCATGAAGCTTGTACAAACACACCTCATAATATTTTGAAACATATTGATCACCAATTCAAAATACACCCTTTTTTGGCATGCACAATTATGTATCAACACTCACCATTACTTCGAAGCACACATCACTGGAACGCACTGCCGGGCGACATCGCTTGATTCACTGATCATGCCGCCTTTGTAAACCAATTCAATATTTTCTTGGACGTATGACTTACCTATCTGTGTAAGTTTGTAAGTGCATGTATGTGCTTATTTTTACTCTTCTTTCATTGAAAATATATTTTCTCGTTAAAGATGATAGTCTTGCTTGGGATACTCCAACGCAAAAATTTCGGTCTGTCTGTCAGCAAAAAGGCTCAAGTACGACCACATCCACAGCATCCACCAGTATTTCTCAAGTTTCTGCATTTGTACTTGTACGATTGTCAATAAAAAGCAAATATTGAGCATATTTGAGGCACAATATCAACATGTCGATATTGTGCACTGTCGAAATTTGGGCTTGTTGGTGCATTGTGACGACAGAAAATAGCGCAAAGAAACGAGGACACAAGACGAGGATACACAGCACAGGCGCCTGTGCCGTGTGTCCTCGTCTTGTGTCCCCGTTTCTTTGCGCTATTTTTTGTCGTCATGGTGCACTGTGTTTATTTATACTAGAAAAGGTATAAAGAAGTAATTCTAAGCACTGCAGCTGACAATGCGACGCTTCGCACGAAAAGGCGAGTCTCCTACGCTTTGCTAGGACGATACTGTGCTGCTACCTGTCTTGAAATCTACAAAATATGGCCGCCAAGATTGCACGCATGCTGCGTGCTCGCTATAACAAAGGCCATTCTTTCGTTTTCTGAAATTACCGCCAGATGGCGCTCATGTCTCACGCAACACCTCCAGGATCCCATTCACTAGTTTCCTCGTGCAAAACATCAAATAAATATTTCTGTCTATTCACTCTTTTCTGGCTAAATACGATAGTCTTTCGACGACATTTTTAGTCTAATATGCAGATAGGGGGCATTTTTTTTCATGGCAATTTTCTGTATATATATTTTGTTGCACTCTAGCTGTGTCTCTCTTATTGAGTTTTCATTCCTGCCACAATTTTTTTTTCCTTTTGCATCTTTGTCTATGGAACTGTATTTTGCTTTGTTTACCACTTTAATTTTATAATGGCAATGTTCTGGTTTGCAAATTTATTGTATAACTAAAAGCACCTGTGTAATGCCTGAATGGGCCTTTAGGGTATATATTAATAAAAAAAAGTGTTGATGCAAAAAGCGGGTGACTGAACAAATAAGTTTATGCCCTGTTACTGACGCTTAATCAGGAACGCTTAGCGGCAAGTGTGAAAAAAGCAAAAAGGCAAAAACTATCAGTTTTTATTTCAGTGAAGATTCATGTTGCCACTAAGAGCTGTTGTTTCAGAAAAATACACTTGGTAAATAAATGTTTCAGAGTATATTCAAAGAAATTTGAAGCGTTTGAAGACTTGTGATCCGCTAAGAATTTCGAACTCAGAATCCATCATCTTATCACTAAGTGAACAACCTTCTTTGTGCCGTAATGCATTCGGTATAGACGTAAAAGATTTATATTATTGTTTGCCCCAATGTGAAGATTTGAAGTGTATAAAGCAGTGCATGAGAGAAGATAATGATGAGTTGTTGTTTCAGTGCCAGTGTGGCATCTCTATTGCGTCATTTTTAGAGCTCATGCAGGCCACCTAAATTCTATCGTTGTGTCTTGGAAGGGAACTAATTTTGTCCAAAAATCTGGTATCTGCATTGAATCATGAATATACCTGTAATTAGTTATATTTTTTCTTGGGTATGTAGACGGGCAGCTGCAAAAGCATTTGAATTGGTTATCATCACACGCTGTTTGATATGTCCATGACTTCTTAGTTCTACTGGACATTAACAATTGCTCTGTACTGGTTGCTAATATAAAGAAAGATGTCAAGGAAAACGAAATGTCAGCGTTTCACTTTGGAGTTTCAAAAAAATTGATGAGCTACAGTTTCTCGATTTAAGACAGGCTTTCGTCAAAGATCACATATATAGCAATATTAACCTAGATTCATAAAGCCAATTCTGAATTTTAATTCTGGCCACTCAAAACCATACAGGGAGCCATTGCGTCAACTGTGCTGGGTGCCGCTTTTCAGAAGTTACGTGAGCACCTTATGGCATATGCATTTGATACACAAGTTGCTCGCCTTGTAAATTCTGGCTTTCCGGGTGACGTGATTCGCTCCTTGTCGGAAAAACTTATTTCAAAGATGGAGAAGTTTTATCATTGTGATTCTAGTGCACCAGAAATTAGCAAGAAAAAGAGGCAGGCAGTTATCCCATACATAACAGGATAGCACATGGTTTGAAAAATGTTGGTGCTCGTTATTGCATAAACATGTCATTTTCAGCACGTAATAAAGTGCATAATGTGTGTACTTTAGTGGATAGAGCATTGTGTCAGCAGCCAGGGAAAGGGAACAAATGTGTCTCCAGTCATGTCCACATATGCTCCTTGCACTACTGGCGTGGTTTATGGTATTCCACTGTCTTGCAGCTGCGAATATTTAGGTGAAATGGGGTGTTACATAAATGTGCACTTAAGAGAGCATGAGCTAATGCTATCAGATGCTAAAATCACGTCTAATTTGGCAGCTCGTTGTAGGCCATGTGGATGTGTGCTCAGGGCTGGGCAGAGATGCCCGAAAAAGTATTCTGGAATACAGATATAAAAATGCGTGGTTCGGAAGCATAAAATACAGATACTGAGATAAATTTTTAATTCATGTGACAGGATTTTTAAGAGATCCGTTTGCAAAAAGACAAAAAAGTATTCCAGAATACATATACAAAAATACTTTTCTCTATGTCGGGGATAGTTATACTCAGATACGTTTGCAAAAAGACAAAAAAGTATTCCAGAATACATATACTAAAATACTTTTCTCTATGTCGGGGATAGTTATACTCCATACAAACATTTGTTATGTGCAGCATAATATTTAAAATGTGCAGCACATTGAAACTTGCAAATGAAATTGATTTATTATATTTTCGCCATTCTCCGAGTGTCATTAAGGCATTACAAAGGATGCTTACACTGCACATAATTGTTAATAACCACATATTTACAGATATCAGTTGCAATAAAAAACTATGCCATATGAGAGCATCAGTCACACGCATTGTACACTGAAATCCGGAACTCAACAGCAACAGTATTAGTTATGCTAGAAGGAGCATAGTTCAAGCGAAGTGCTGGAACCATAAACAAACGAACTTCCAGTTGAAGGTTTAGTGTTTTCTAGAAACATCTTAGAAAAGGCAGAAAGAATTAAGAACGGACAAAACAAGGAGTGCGAAAGGAAACTCAAAAAGACCTCTTTCGAATCGCTGTTTGGCCATGCTGGCGTTTTTCAGAAATGCTTTGCAGAAAGAAGTATCGTAGATGGCACACGGCACCAAATTCTTTGGGTGGTTTGTGGCTTCCGCAATAAGCTCCAGTTTTTCAAATGGGCGCTGCAAAAGAAAAGTGGAAAAAAAATGAGAAAAACAAACACTACTCGTTTAATTGGCATGAAAAAATACATTTAAAAAATGGCGCCCATTGTGCAGTATACAATACTCCTCACAATGAAAATATCTGTGCTGGAATTCAATATAGCAGTACAACATTGTTGTCACGCTGAAGCAGGCCATCATTCAAACACATTCCAGTTCTGCCTGAAGGAGCACAATGGGATGCGGGTAGCAAAGCAACTAGCTCGCTTTCAAGAAGGTAGGAGTCAGTTTCGCCCTTAGCAGAAAGTAAGATAGGTCTCAGTCAATTACACTTAGAATGCTCCAGACGGGCTCGTTCTCCTCGCGGGGCCTCCTTAGTCGTATCTTCACAACGTTGACTCAAGTTGTCTGGAATGTAATGAACGGCGCCAAGTCGCCGAAATAGTGGCGACTTGGCGCGGCACATTTTCTTGATTTACCGAGCGAGTTTTACCTCAACTCATCGTACTCACATGTTTCGACGGGATTTGAATGGCGCAGGCTGCCTTTCCCAGACGTGTCACCCCTGAAAGAAGCCGAGTGTCGGGCCGAGGGACGCCTGTGCTCATTTGCAATACCGGTGGGTATCCGGCGGCACGTGGATTCGAACCCACGACCTCCCGCAGCCGAAGCGGACACTCTACCACTAGGCTGAGACTGCGGTCATGACAATGCGGAGCATTGCCAAAGCGCACATGCTTTGGCAATGCTCCGCATTACCTAACGGCCCTCTATCCAGCGAAGCCGACTGGGAAGAGGCACTCCGGAGCCCAGCGCTCCAGGCAATCCAGAGGGCCCAAAAAAGGGCGGAACATCACGGCGTCCCAGTCCAGACTTGGACGCGGCTAGCGGCTTCCGCGGGTCCCCGATAGGGGTTCCCGCGAAAGCTCCTCAGGATCACATAAAGTTCATTGTCTGTCTGTCTGGGTCATTCTATGCCCAACGTCCCAGTCATTTTGGCGACCATCTCAAATGTATTCGAAATAAATAATCGTGCTGATTCACTGCATTGAAAATAGCGAAGTGCTAAAATTTTTCTGAGAGAAATAATTTTTGGTCATGTGGCTGCCTTCTGAGTTTCCTGAAAATGTGGTTTGGGTGTTGTTTGTGGAAAAGTTTATTTTAAAAGTACCACTCCTTCTTTCTATACCAACAGTGGTCTACATGTTAAGTAAAAATGCTTGAAGGTCAGTTATATTAGTGTAATTTTACTGAGGTGCATATGCCTACAAGAATTTAGCCGAAATGTCTTATGTTTGCAGTTTTTTTTTATTGCAATACTGCTGTTTGTATGAATACCTGAGTAGTGAATACTTTCTCGACAAAAGGTATATTTTTAGGAAAAAATATTTTCAGACCTCTCAAGCAGCTAAATGTTACGAGAAAGAATCACAAATTTTGCAAGTCGTCCTTTTTGTCCATATTGAAAGTCAATTTGCACCTTCTGGTGCTATAATTAAGTCACCTTTATACCTAAATCAAAAGCAAATATGCAGTTATTTTTATATACAAATTTCATCATTACATTTTTTGTTTCAGGGAAAAAAGTAATTTTTGAACGTTACCATTGGAGCCCATCTTCCGATTTGGTCATATGACAGCTGCCGCTTTGAAATTCTACATTGCCGTCAATAGGAAAGTTTCAAAATTATTTTCTTCCTTAAAACAAAAAATTTAATGATGAGCTTTGCCATTTGAAAAGAAGTGCTGATTTGCTTTTGATTTAAATATTAAGGTGACTTTCAATTTGACCACCGCAGGGTGCAAATTGCATCTGAATATAGACAAAAATGACAATGTTGTGAAATTTATGTTTTTTTTTCTTTTAAATTTTATCTGCATGAGAGATCGAACAATATTTTGTGGAATAAGTATTCACTACACAGGTATTCATACAAACTGCAGTATTGCAATAAAAAAACTGCAAACATAAGACATTTCGGCTCAATTCTTGGAGGCGCATGCGTTAGTAAAATTGCACTAATATTACTGAGCTTCAAACGCCCTGCACAAGCAGCTTTGATTAACATGTAGACCAAATTTGGTATAGAGAGAAAGAGCGGTACTTTTAAGAAAAATTTTCCACAAACAACACCCAAATGACATTTTCGGGTAACTCAGAAGGCAGCCACGTGACCAAAAATTTTTTCTCTCAGAAAAATTCTACCAGTTCACTATTTTAAACACAGTGGTGCTCCAGCAAGATTTTTTTTTTGAATACATTTAAGATGGTTGCCAAAATGGCTGGGACGTTCGATGTATAATGATCCAATTACATAAATGACTTGCAGAATTTTTACTTTATATATCAGACATTGCTGCCCTGTTTTGGAAACAAGTAAGGCATATCGGACATCTCATTTTCAGTATTTCAATTAAGAGAATAAAATGGGCTAACATGGGTTTAATGAAATATGATCTGTGTTCATAACAATAACAGTAACAGTAGTATTGATCTTTCCTTTGATGCACAATAGGGAATTCACATTTACACCAGATGCTTGTCAACTCATGGCAGAGATAATGCACATAAGGGAGGTAACCTCACTGGCCTCCTTAGTGGTTCTTGTCAGATTGCTTATTCTGCACTTCTGAGTAAAGGAGCTGCTGTTGCATAAAGGCTGCACACCAGTGAGCTTACCCGTTGGCGCCTCTCAAATATACTGTGGACACACAGTAAAACCCGCTTACATCATCGGTAGCCGAAGTCGCAAATAGTCCCACTGCAAGCGTCATTTCACTCTAATCAAATCATTTCGGAAGGCTCTACATGTGCAAAACATGACCAACAGGCAGCCGCTCGATTCCGACGATCTAAGCATGCAACTTATGTTCAAAGGTCGTCCGTGGACCTGCAGTGCCAACATAACGAATTAACTCGGGAAAAAATGAAAAAGGCTGTAGCGAAATGCCGCTAACTAAATTCTCCAACGTCCACGTTTACGTGGCCTTCGCAGCGCGGTACCACACTGCGCGGAAATTATACGTAGGACGGCTATCACAGCTACACACACTTATTTCAACTAATTTTATCTTCTGCGGGCACTTGCGATGAAGCACGTGCGCTGTAGCGCTGCAAGCACGCCTGCGTTTTCTTGGAGTATTGAATTCGTCCCTTCTAAATGCAAAAATTGCAATATGTGTCGTTGACTCGTCGCTAACCCGTAACTTTGATCGTCCGCAGCTGCTACCGACTAGGCAGCTAGCCCCTTACAACATCCACATTAATTGCTTACCTGGCTACCACGTTTCGTCGGGTGCACGCCGTCAGCCTTCAGCATCCCCATCAGCTCGCATGTGCCGTCCACGAAACCGCAGCCGTTCTTGTGGCACAGCGCCTGCAAAATGGCATTCGTCTCCCCGGCATCCGTGTTGAACGCCTCCAATTCTCCGACAGACAGCGCCCACTGTCACTTGCGCAAGCTCGCTTGTCTCGGCAGAATTGCAGACACTACAACACGGATTGATGGATTGACATCAAGAATTCTAGAGTTCAGTGATCGGAACTTGGCTATCAGCACGAGGGGTTCTTCACCGACATTGTTAGTGCCAACATGAAGAACGACCACGTGCACATCTGCCAGAGAATGAGCAATTAAGGAGAACAATTTCTCGATCCGCACACTGCTGAATGAGCGAACTTCGGCATGTGTCCTGGAGCTCAATGTGAAAGACCCTGCGAGGTCCTTCAACATTGAGTCTCCGGCAACGTGTGCACGGGTCATGTTAGGGTTGACTTTTCAGCAGCCGCACACGAACACTTCAAGCACACTTAAACAGAGAAATAAATGCGAACAAACTACAACGCGAACAGTGCAACAAAATTGACAGGCACAACTGGAAGATCACATGCAATCTCCAACACGATACGGTAGCAGAATCCGCCGGCTGTGAATGGTCAGAATGGTCCGCACAGTCAACCACACAACTGACCACCACTGAACAACGAGGACACAATGCTAGGGAACAAAGTTCCGAAATGAAAGCTTTTGCCGTTATGCTTTCTGCGCACGCGCCAAAGGGGGGGGGGGCAAGGCAGTATGGAAAGGCGAAGCGCAAGCCGCTGCAGGGCTTGGGCCGCTGAAGTTTCGTCTGCTCGACTTGCACCCTTGCTTGCAGCGCGTGGGAGCATGTTGCGCTGTTGCAGTGCGTGCATGCGAACACGTTGTTGCAAGACTAACGCGGGTTTGTGAGTACGCAACGTACACATACCGATAGCTCCACCGACAATAGACAGGATGCAGTATAGTTGGTTCCTAAATGGGTGATCAAAAACTCCTGAATCAGGAATGGCTGTGCAGCTGGGCTGGGTCGTCCGGTGCTTCCTTGGCAATTTTTCATGGCAAATTCTGGTATCGATGCGGCGTCTGCATTAAAGAAAAAGCAGCGTTAGGTGTCAGTTAAAATTCGAGGTAAGAGCTAGCCAGAGGACGTTTGCACCTTTATGTTTTCCTTGCGGCACACAGCCCTTGCAGGAGCGAAACAGGCTATCAATACAGAGTTTCAGCGCGGCGGCTCCAAGCGGCTTGCGTACATGAGCCCTTGCGTTCATTTGTATTCTCCACAGGTGCGGCGGTGAGTTCAAAGAAACGCGATAGCATGCGCGTGCTACAGGCAGCTAGGGGTACCAGACATTAAAACGCGCGTCTGCACGCACGCGCGCGCCCGTGTGGATGCGGATGCTGCTATCGGGTATATATATATATATTTTTTTTTCATGACCTTTCACTGTGTTTAAACTTTGCGCACCGGCAAATGGATGTGAAGAATCATTGTGGCTGACAGCGCCAAGACCCATTCATAGAGTATAAATGGACATGGCGCACTGCGCAGTGCTTTATAAGCGCTGTGCCATGTACTATCGTGTAGCTCGACAAAAGAAATACTGAATGCTGCATGTAACAGCAACACGCGTCCTCGCGTCATGAAAGCATGCATGCAGTTCCAAGTGCATAAATGGAACGAATTAACGCACATGTGGAGAGCAATACGAAAATCCCTTTCACAGCATGCAGATTATCAACAAAAACGCGTCATACACAAACAGCCTTCTTGTGATTGGTTAAACCTAAGAAAGGTAATTCATATTTATTTTACCGTTGCTGTTTTACAAATGTGAGTAAAGATATTACAGGCGAAGCATTTCTTCTGTCTGTCTGTCTGTCTATGTATGTATGTATGTATGTATGTATGTATGTATGTATGTATGTATGTATGTATGTATGTAGCCGCTCACGTCTGGGTGCTCTTGTGATCACCTCCTTAACTTGGCATGAACCAAAATTAGTATGGGAAGGCTCCATAGTTTGACGAATACGATGCGCCGGTGAAGACATGAATAAGGTCACAATCCTGTTACGCGCGTCGTCAAACGCTTCCTTCTGAACAGTGACACACACCCGCGGGCAGGTATGTGGCCCAAGTAATTGACACTTAATTTTTGCATCTACCCAGGAATGACGAGAACACACGCGGAAAATTTTGACGCGTGAGCATTGAGAAATCATGAACCATTTCCCCGAAGTGAACCCTGCTGGGGTGCGAAGCAGCAGTGGTGCGCACGTCGTTGACCCAGTTGAAGCGGGCGTCGACGCGGGTGCTGGAAGAACGGCTGGAAGCGAACTCGGTGTAACGTTTACTTGAGTAAACGTTTGTTTGAAAAGCAAAGAAATTGGAGGCGGGTTGGGTTTCGTATAAGTTTCATCGCAGATAACGAGCTGAGAGAGTGTTTCCACGCGACGTGCGGTCGAGCGTTGCGGGTGGTGGAGAGGGTGAAGTGGGAGAGATGTGTGTTATGAGCGGGTGGAGCTGCAACTTGACCTACTTGGCAGTGCTCTAATACTTGCGGCGAGAGAAACGCGCCGCGGTGCGTTCGCTCGGACGTACGTACGGCGTTAAACACGTGTGTCAGAGATGCTTCGCATCTAAAAAGCCTTACATCAGCAGCGCTGACCTGACGAATGCAAAGAATAAATGTCGCATTCCCATCAGGAATCGAACCCAAGCATTCTGCGCGGCAATCAATCATATTCTACAACAAAGCCATGCCAGATCTCGGACTGTCTTTTCAAATAGCTTAATACCTTAATATGGTCATGAAACGTTAATAGTGGTTGCAGTGGTGGCAATCCAGCTTTATAAACATTACATATGTACTCCTATGATGCAGCTGTGATGTCGGGTTAACGTCAATTGTTGCTAGGTGCCATGCACTGAAGTTGATTTATGCAGCAGCGTCCAGGGCTACCATCCTCACTAGCACCAGCACTTCATACCAGCTTATTGATTCTGGTGTTCCTAATGCTCAAGTTTATGTTTGCATCATTGCACAAGTGCAAACAACTGGTTATATAAACACTTGGAATTCTTCAATGTATGTCTGTGTGTGGAACATTTGGACGTATATTTGGCGTAATTTCATGACGTGCCGCTATAAAAAAATCACAACATGGTCACGCTAAGCATGCCTCCGCATGCTTCGCATAATGTCGATTCCGGAGGTACGTGGAATATGCTGAATTTTTCAAAAATATCCTTGGGCAAGACGTACTTTCGGCACAAATCTTGACATAGGTATGTGTCAGTTTTTTACAAGAAAATGTAACTCTTAGAAATGCCAATTACCATATTTTTAATTGTATAGTCACTGTACTTAACATTTCAAGCAGTACTCTCTTTTATATTCATACAAAACACAGCTGTAGTGTATGGCTCATAGTTGAGGAAAATGCTGGCAAAGCACAACTTGCACTTCTGCAGTTAAGACGACATAACTTAAGGGCCCACTGAACGCTTGTGTTATGCATGGTGTACTACTAAGTTATTACCGTTACTTCGTGCGATCAGGCTGACATTATGATCTGTGCATGATACAGCTCCTCAGCTGCACGATAGTGATTTGCATCGCAAAGCTGTTTTCTGGCACGACAGGCATGAGAATTTTGGGACAGGATGTGACAACGAGCATGTACGCTAAATCTGAGTGCGCCATCAATTCAGTCGATCTGTGTATAGGAGTGAAAATTTAGCCAGGTAATGGTAAAAAAGTGACGCATAGGGAAAAAACGAGGAGCCCTCAAAAATGAGGGCGAGAGAAGTTCAGTGTGCATGTGCCTCCTTCTTTCTCTCTTTTCTTCTCTCTTTCTCTTTGAGAGCTCGCCTCTTTTTTCTTGCTCTGTTCCCTGTTTTATCTTCCCTCTTTGTTTTCTTTTCTGCCTTTGGATGCATCACTTTCTACATTCTTTCCTTTCAAGGTGAAAATACTCCACTGTTTCAGTTCACTTTAACTGAAACCATGGCTGTATACAGCTGGGACTAAGTACAAGCCAACAGATTAGCAACATGTTCCAGTTGGTCCCAGCATGAACCACTCGAGACTGAAAATTAAACCAGCTGGCCTGGAAATGGAATCAGCTGGAATCATTTGTTATAATGAAACCAGTTGGTGTGAATTATCATCATCATCATTATTATTATCTTCCTTATGGCCATTCTCTTCATCCCAGAATAGCTGTAGTGCGAGGCAAATAAGTGATAAGGGCTCACTGCCTTCATGATAGTTTTTTTTTTTGTACATCTAATGCTGACAACATTTACAGTTCATTGTATGCCAGTACAAGTTTCATTTCAAAAAGGCACAGGGTATTTCAAGCAGTGCAAACAACTAAAAAACAGTTTGTGTAAAGCACAGGACATATGCACAACCAAATATTGCTGTGTGCTGTATCGAAGTTTAAAGGGGCTGGCACTCCCTTACCTCCTATTGCCTAGCACCTCTCTGCCAGAGGAGGACATGGCACTGCAATTTATAGAAAGGCATTAAGCTACTCTGAAAAGGTCTAACTGCTTTGCCTCATACTGCCATCACCTGATCTTTTGGAGGTAAGGTAAGATTGCATGAAAAACAGGTAGCCGTGCATCAGTCATTCCCTAATACGTACCTCCTTCAAAAATCCAAAACATCTCCGGGATGTCCTGAAATGACGAAAATATTCTTGTCCTGTAGGGTGTGCCACAAGACTGGCTGATATATCTGAGTCCATTAAATGCAGTTAAAATATGTAGGTCTCTGTAAGGACATTATAAATACTGCCTTGAACAGTGTAACAGTGAAATACAGATTTAATGAGTAAACTGCAAATCAAGTGCAATATTATCAATGCAATGGTAATAATAATAATAAATGAATATATTACTAACATGATTATAATAGTATTGTTTGGTTTCCGCATACAAAGTAACTAATTGCGAGGATTAAAAGGGGATGCACAGGAAGGCAATGAGGTATATTTATAACAAATGCAATCTAACGAATTTTCCTACTGAGTTGCAAACAAAAGCTGGTCTATTAACACTATAAGGTAGGGCAAAAATGGCAAGACTAAAGATTTTGTTTCAATTAATTCATAGTGACATAAACATCGACACGTCAAAATTAACTTTTTCTGTTGTTTTAAGTTAACACATTACAGGCACTCACAAACACTTAATAAATACACTTTCAAATTAAGTTGCTATAAATATTCATACTTCCCCCAAACCATAAAAGAATGCAAACCAAATAAGTCCTTTTGGTACTGATGCCTCATATTTCACTGTGTCTTTAGATATGGTACAAGCGTCACGCATAACCGAGAGAATAGAAAACAAAGAAAAGAAGGCAGTGTTTGCCGAACAGTATAATAGACAGCACTTTGTTAAGAATTACATAGAAACTGCAGTTGGGTAAAGATAACTAGATGGCGCTGTACCCCTACTTTCAGATTGGCTGCATGGGGGGGCTGTGCCTGGGTATGCATAGAACGAGCGGATCTCTCAGTCTCCTTTATAGTCACCATACGTAGTGGATCGTTGGTGGGGCATGAACGAAGCAGAGTGGCGGGCACGTTAAAGACGCTTGCGCTTGGCTCTTTTGGCACGCGTCTCATCGGTGTTACCCATGCGTCATCTGCATTCTCGAACGCGATCGGACGCCTAGACGCATGCATGGACGGACGCTTCACCCCACTCATCATCAATCACTCCATGAATATTCTGTAATTTTTTTTTAATTTTCTTTTTTCTTCTGGGATTTAAAAAAATTTATTATTATTTTTCCTCATTTTAACTTGCACATATGTTGTAATACCACTACTATTATTATATTCTAACAAAGCTTATTCAGCAGCTAAGTACGTCTATATCGCCCTACATTTCATACAACACTACGCAGTATAGATTTAAAACTACGCTTCAATGTTAGACTCCACTTATTTACTCATAAATTGTGCCATTCTCTTGATGCAGTGATTCATAGACTGAATTATTTTAGAATTTTCTAACACAATTGACAAGGTCAGTCATAAACATTTACTTTAAAATTAAGTCA